CTGCCAAAAAAACCAACAGAGTCCTAGGCTGCATCAACAGAGGGAGAGAATAAAGATGACGTGAAGTGTTAACAACCCTTTTTTAAGGCGTTGGTAAGGCCACACTTGGAATATTTGCATCCAGTAAAAAAGAGACTCTAGAAAGAGTGCAGAGAAGAGCAACAAAGAGGATTAGGGGACTGGAGGCTAAAACATATGAAGAACGGTTGCAGGAACTGGGTATGTCTAGTTTAATGAAAAGAAGCCAGGTTTTGAATGTGGGCCCTTCTCAAAGAGAAGGGCTGCTGAGAAAGAAACGCAGCGGGTAGTTAAAACAGGACGTACCGAAAGGAAGCAACACATTCCTTACCTTGGCAAGAATTTCAGCTGGACACTAAAAGAGGACTGCGCTTGGATGTACCCCGTTTTGGGCAACAGCTCTACGTAGTTAGCCAACTCCTTGCAAATTTCAAACTTCAGGCGTAAGGCACTGGTCGCTCTGGGGAAAGGCAAGAAAGCGGAGGGCACTTGATTTACGACCACAGTTGAGCCCAAAATTTATCTCGCTAAGTGAGACATCAGTTGAAATCTGCTCCGCTTTACGACATGACAAATATTTGCCACATTTGGAAGCCAGGTTTTGGAGATCACACCTTCATTCTCTTCCAACGGTGAAAACAAAACAAAACCTTGGTGGTGTTTAAGGTCTTAGTAAGGAACTGGGAATCTGCGCGCCATCGGTGGCGCAGTGGTCAGAGTGCAGTACTGCAGGCTCCTTCTGCTGACTGTCGGCTGACTGCGATTTGGCAGTTAAAGTCTCACCCGGCTCAAAGTTGACTTAGCCTCCCGTCCTTCCGAGGTGGGTAAAATGAGGACCCAGATTGTTGGGGGCAAAAGGCTGACTCTGTAAACTGCTTAGAGAGGGCTGTAAAAGCACTGTGAAGAGGTATATAAGTCTTAAGTACTATTGCTACTTTCCTTCCTTCCTTCCCTCCCTCCCTCCCTCCCAATGGTCAGAATACATTATTTCAGGCTAACTCTGCATACTGCCAGCAGTTCGATCCTGATCAACTGGCTCAAGGTTGACTCAGCCTCCGGTCCTTCCGAGGTGGGTAAAATGAGGATCCAGATTGTTTGGGGCCAAGAGGCTGACTCTGTAAACCACTTAGAGAGGGCTGTAAAGCAATATATAAGTCTAAGTGCTATTGCTATCTTTCTTCCTTCCTTCCTTCCTTCCTTCCTTCCTTCCTTCCTTCCTTCCTTCCTTCCTTCTTCCTTCTTTCCTTTCTTCCTTCCCACTTAGCACTTAGACTTATATACCACTTCACAGTGCTCTTACAGCCCTCTCTAAGCAGTTTACAGAGTCAGCCTTTTGCCCCCAACAATCTGGGTCCTCATTTTACCCACCTCGGAAGGACGGGAGGTTGAGTCAACCTTGAGAGTGTCAGAATCAAACTTCTGGCAGTCAGCAGAGTTAAACTGCAATACTGCATTCTAACCACTGGGAAGGAAGG